CCCTTTTTCAAACAAAACTCGGGGCCCCATCCAGCTACGCTCCGACCCCGAAATTTGGAGGGGCCTAAAAGTTTAAGGTATTGCTGCGCAAAAGGGGAAAAACTCCACGCACAAAGTACATGCATACTTCCTCTTAGGCGGACCCTCCCGATGCCAGGACGCATCTAGTGCTAGTGTCGCTTTATAGGAAATGCGGCGGCGAATGGCAAAGCGCATAAAGAAAGTCGGGGTCGCAGAGAGCGTCGCGCAGCAGTTGAGCATGCTCGTGCGTTGTTTAGGACGCCACGCCAATTATCTGCGCGCCCATCTGTTGCCTGGCATCCCCTGCGAATTCGTCGCTCGTGGTCAGCTCCGCCGCCGCTCGTAGCAACCAGTGCCGTGTCGAGATGAAGCTCCGCGACGACGCCCGTGGACTGCACGCGCAGGGAGAGGCGCACGAGCTCCCGCACGGCAAGCGACTTCTCGGCATGCGCCGCCTGACGCCTGTCGGCATCCCATTCTTGCAAGCAAGCCACATTTCTACCGACGACCGCGTATTTGGTCGCGGAGAGGACGTTTTGGTACGTTTTGGCACCAGCTGAAGGCTTGCACGGACAAGAGCCCGTTGCCAACCGCACTTTTGCCAGAGCCTCGCGAATCAATTGGCCTCCGCTCGGGTGTGAACATATTCGCTGCGGTCAAAAGAAAATCTACGCGGCCTCACAGCCTCTCTGTCACGGCCCAAGCGAGTCAAACGCGCAGCAGCACTTGGGTGGCGGCGGGTACTGCACCTCTCCGCCGTCCACTCCAAGGATGTTGCCTGCCGAATCCACGGAGAACCCGGCGACCGGGCCCAATGCCTGCGATGTCACCAGGCCCAGCCCAGGCTTACACACAGCGAGGTAGGCCAGCGGGCTTCCCTGCGGTCCGACCACGACCTCGAGGGCGCCGTGGTTCGCGCCGCAGGCCTGAGAAAAAAAGTGATTCGAGTGAGATTTCAGGGAGCCACTCGCGTATTATGCGGTGCCACGGGGCGCGATGAGGCGACTCACCCCGCAGAGCTTGATCGACCCGGCGCATTTGGCCAACGACCTGTCGCAGAACTGGCCAGCGGTATTTGGCTCTGGGCGCTTCCAGCCGCCTGCGGCGTCGCGGAGGAGGACGCACTTGAGCAGGCCCTCCTTGGTATCGCCAGCCACGTTCATCACCGACTGGTAGAGGATTTGGAAGCCGAAGGGGCTGAGATTGACGGCGATGAGGCCAAAGCTCTTGTCCGGGGTGGGTGGCAGGCTGGTGCCAACC